GGGTGGAGGGAAGAGGGAGGAGGGAAGAGGGAAGAGGGAAGAGGGAAGAGGGAAGAGGGAGGAGGGAGGAGGGAAGGGAAGAGGGAAGAAGAAGAGGAAGAGGGAAGAGGGAAGAGGGAAGAGGGAGGAGGGAGGAGGGAGGAGGGAGGATCTCTAAGAAAAGAATACATGGGTAAGAATACATGGGTCATACCCACGAGATTTCGAATCTCTCAGCAAGTTAACAAAAAAAGAAAAAAAATCCGTTTCCGACCGTATCAACGACCAGATTCGACGAGAAATCAATGGACCGGAATCAACGGTCTAGATTCTCGGTATCTAACGTCGGCCGTCATTGATATTAGCCACTCACAAAGTTAATGTATCTCATGCGGATTCAAACTGATAACCTTTTTTTTTTTTTTTTTTTTTTGGCTTATTCTGTTTATAGACAGCTACATGCATGTTGTACCGTTCACGCCCGCGGCTGCTAGATTCGCCCTAGCTTTCCTTTTTTCAGTTTTTCAAGGGGGGGGGGGGGGGGGGGGGGGGGGTTCTCCTTTCCTTCTCCTTTTGACTCTTTTGCTCCTTCTCTCCTGGGGCAAAAAAGTTCCACTTTCCTTTAAAAGAAATAATAAAATAACTTTAAAAAAAAATAATTGCCTTCTGGATTCTTCGTTCCTCCCTGGCCATCGATCTTCGTAATCTATGTAAAAGTGGTTAAGTGGATAAGCGGATAAAAACGTGGATGTGACGTGGCCAAAAAATGGATAAGCAAGAAAGAATGTGACGTGGCCAAAAAGCGGATAAAAGACCAACCAACCGGGCTTAAGCTCAGTTGGTACACTCGTTAACTGTTGAAATGCAGACCCCAGTTCGAATCCAGATGGAACCAGACGAGCGAAATTTCCTGAAGTATCTGGGGCCGGTCAGTTCCACGATGATATCTATCTCAAGGCTGACGACCTTCGTAAAAAGAAAAAAAGAAAAAAAAAAAAGTGGGTAAGCATGGAAGCATAGATATGACGTGGCCAAAAACTGGATAAGCATGGATGGGACGTAGCCAAAAAGCTAGGACACTGGACTCGCCCGGCCTTGCAGCACGGCCGTGCAATCCGGGCAAGTCGTCCGGGGGTCCCCTGCACGGGGCAACCC